AGCTTCAAGAGGTGAAGCAGACAACTGGATTCAGTGCAATTCCTCCTGAGTTATCATAGAGTACGCCTGATTGACGGTAGAAAGGGGCTTCATGATAAGGATCTGACTTCGAATCGCATAGTAGGTTTCATTGAGGCCCATCAGAAATTGAAAAGACGTTGTTGAGCCACATGCGCCGAGTTTTGTTGTACAGCGTCACAATTGCAAGAAGTGAAGGGGACAAGAGCAGTGTACTCATCCCACAGGAGCTTGAGACAAGTGAAGTAAACGGAGACAGACGAGTCACCTTGAATGAGGGTTGCAATCGACCGATGTAAGTAAAAAACCCTAGAACCATCGATTTTTTCAAAGCGCTCCTTAAGGTCCTTCCAAACAGATTCTACGGTCGAGGCAAAAACAATGCCAGCAGAGAGATCATGGCTAAAAGAATTCAGGATCCATGAGAGTACAAGAGCGTTGCAACGCTCCCATTAAGACTGCATCAGACCGTCATAATCGTCTCGTCGACAACTTCCATCGACAAAGCCAAGCTTGTTCTTGGCGAGAAGCGCGATGCGCATGGAACATCTCCAGAGACTATAGTTTTCAACGCCAGTGAGTTGAAGGGACACCAATTGAACACCGGTGTATCATAAGGATGCAAGAAAAGTGGGTGATTTGGATCGACTGTGAGCGCCATGAACCCTAAGAGAAATCAATTTGGGGAAATAAACGAAATGAGAATGTTGTTGGAATGGAAATGAGGTTGCTGTAGAAGGGAGACGAGCCATAAGGTTTAGTGATGAATGAGCCAAACAGAGAATCAAAGCCTGGAGATTGATACCATGTTGAAATTGGAAATGCTAGAATTGAATAATACCTCGTGTATTAGAATGAATATAATACAAATATATATACAGTTTTAATCTAACTAACTAACTGTCAATTAGTTACAATTAAAACAGAAAATAACAAATTTAACTTCTAAAATAGACAATGCAAGATGGGATGGCGTGCCTTTTTTAATGAAAGCAGGCAAAGCATTGCACAGTAGGAGGTAAATGAAATTGATAAAGAAATTTGAATTTGTATAGATTCGATCTAGCATCAGTTACTTATTTCATGCTGCTAAGATCTCTTTAATCTCTCCAGGGCGGAGATAAGGGCAGGCATGTGCGTGGCAATTTATATAACCGGAATTTCGGACCTGATCTTGATCGTGCTACAAATGAGCTTGTCATTCGAGTGCAGCCTGGTGAAGCTATTTTCTTGAAGATCAATAAGGTTCCCGGATTGGGCATGAGGTTGGATCGCAGTAATCTAAACCTTCATTATGCTGCAAGGTAAACTTTAAAAATGATCAACATTTTCACTGTTTCTAACCGGACAATGACCGAATGGTAGTTTCTGTTTACCGTTTGAAGATGGCTGTAAATTTCTTATTATACTTGGACTACACAGTTTTAGTTAACAAATTCGTCCCGACATCGATGAAATGTTGTTTGCAGATATTCAAAAGAGATTCCAGATGCATACGAGAGACTACTGCTGGACGCGATCGAGGGTGAGAGGAGGTTGTTTATCCGAAGTGACGACCTGGATGCAGCATGGGTCTAATAATAAAGCTATTATTAACTTAGATTTTTTCCTTCAATTTATTATATAATTTAATAAATATTAATAATTGAAGGAAGAGAAAATGTTCGATTTTGGACAAGAAGGTTGTCAATGGCACTAACTATTATAATCAAAATTTGTGTATTATATTGTATATTAGATCTAACTTCATGTGTAAATTTAATATTTATCTTTAAATTTTATCGAATAATATTTTTTCAATTTTTTATTTTAAATATAATATTTATAATTAAATTTTATTAAATAATACATAAATGTATATATCATATTATATATTTAAATAAAATTCATATTTTTAAGATTTATTGCTAATTTATTTATTTCAAATTAAAACTTTTTAACAATTAATTGAAACGAGGAGAAAAAGAAAGAACCCAACTGCTAGCTGGGCTCACTTATGGTTATTTCGTGGTCTACCCATCTTCTTAGCTGATTGTTGTCATGCTCAACTACGGTTCTTCGTTGTCCCCTCTCCCTTGTACAGTAGAAGATGATTCAAGGTGATTTGATTAAACTGACACATTTTCGTCGAATATATTCCTTTCTAGCACCGTTTGATCGATATTTCTTGAAGTGACACCCTTTCGGCTGATGTGGCACAAAGGCACATCCCCGGGGACGCGCTTTACCCGAATTACGCTGACTCGACTGTCACGTGTAAAAGGCGCATCCCCGGAAACACGCCTTTCATTAAATACCTTAAATGTCCATCCATTTTTTCCCCAACTACCCCTCCTCCTCCCTTATATAAACTCCCTCAACTCCCCTCATTCTTCACACCAAAATCATCTACTCCTTTCTTATATAACACAAATTCTCCAACTATTTGAGTTTTAAATTTCTTATTAGTGGTAAGAAATTTATTTTGAACTTAGTATTTTTTTAAATAGTTTTTATATTTTTTATTAATATAATTATATAAATATTATTTTTTATTAAAATAATATTTATATAATTATTATTTATTTAAATTTATTAATTAATTATTTTTTATGCTAATTATATTTTTTTGTCTATAGTTATAATGGAAAGTGAAATGCTGCTGCGATTGGATGCAAACCATATCTCCAGACATTTTAGTGATATAATAATATTTTTTATAATTAATGTTAATATTTATTATTATTTTTAATTTAAATTTATTATGAATTTATATTAATTATAAATTTTTATAATGCATATTATTTAGGAAACTGATCGTATTTTAGAGATAGTTATTAAAAACCCACGTATACCAACACCATAACGTATTTTGTCATATTTGGCTTCTGTCAGGTTCGGGTATATTGCAACAATTATTGGCGGTTGCAAACTCGTACATGTCCTAATTTCTGCATTGATTGAGAGGTGGAGGCCCGAGACACACACTTTTCATCTTCCATGTGGAGAGGTTACAATTACATTGGAGGATGTCTCTATGCATCTGGGGCTTCCCGTCGACGGAAACATTATGTGTAGTATGGCGGATGGTGATTGGCAGTCAATGTGCATAGAGTATCTTGGAGTTGCTCTGCCAGAGTTTAATGGAGGTAGAATAGCTTTATCTTAGTTGAAAGTTAATTTTGAAGTTTTGAATGAAAATGCTTCAGATGATCAAGCAAAGGCATGTGCTCGGGCTTATATTCTACGAATAATTGGAGGAATATTGATGCCCGACAAATCTCGCAATCAGGTGCATTGTATGTGGTTGCGGTGTCTGATTGATTTTGATGAAGCTGGAAGATATAGTTGGGGCGCTGCAGTTTTGGATTTTCTTTTTAGAGAAATGTGTCGTGCGACGAATTATAAGAAAACTGCTATCAGTGGATGTCTCATGTTTCTGCAATCATGGGCGTGGTTCCACATGCCTTTCTTATGCCCGATCGTCAATGAACCATACGTATTCCCCTTATTATTGAGGTAATTTTCGAACTAAATTTTGATTTAAATATTTTTAATTAAATACGATGATATTTAGTTTATATTATATTTCATGGGTGGTCGATGAAAAGAAAGAACCATATAAGTATACCTACTGGGTTACAAAACAGTCATATTTACCACCCAAGACTAGTAGTTAATTTACAGAAAAAAGCGGATGCATCAAATAGGATGTTGGTTACAAATTTTTCTCGCACTCGTGAATTGTTTCGTGTAACCGAAATGACACGTCCGCTGCAAGGGATTGAAGCTAACTCTTTCAGAGTTAATCTGCAAGAGAGGTGGTGCGATTGTGGTTTCTTTCAAGCACTCAAATATACATGCTCTATGTCATTGCAGCTTGCTCACATTCGCATTTAGACTACAAAAATTATGTTGATCCCGTATACCAACTTTCACAAGTATTCAAGGTATATAAATTTGAGTTTCCGCCCATAGGAAACGAAAAAGACCCATATGAGATTCAAACTTGGCTTACAATTGTACCAGATCCATTGCTATTGAGGGACTCAGGTCGTCCAAAATCTACTATAATACATTGTAATATGGATATTCGGGAGAAGTCAACAGAACAAAAACGATGTGGGCATTGTAGAAACATCGGACATAATAGAAAAAATGTACAGCTCTATTATCATCACATAATCATTAACCCTTATGTAATTAATATTCTATTTAAATGAATGTTTTTGTTTATAATTTTTAAATGTAATTGCATTTTGTATAATTTCTCAATGTATGTACACCTAAATAAATTTTATTTTTTTAAAATTGTTATTTAAAAAATATTTTATGATCTTTATTTAATATAATAATTAATATTATTAATTATTTTTTTAAAAATATTATAATAACTTCACCTTCTAAGTAGAGAAAAAATATTAAATTAAACAAATTAAAAGTTATAAAAAAATTTATGTATTCGATAACACATTTCATGTTCTGATTGGAGGATTAAATTTATTAAATTAAATTTTCAGTAAGACTAAATTCATAAAATATGTAAGTATTGAAGATTAAATGTGTAATTATACTAATTTTATTAACTTATTCATCAATATTTTCGTTAAATAGTGATAACAGATGACTAGATTGATAACATTTAAATAATTAAGTGATAAAATTAATAGATCGATAATCAAAATAAAATTAAGTGATAAAAAAATACATTCGATAATTCTTAAATTATAACCGAAACACTTTTCATAATATATTACTAATTTATAATAACAATAAAAATAAAATCTTTATTATTAAAAAAATACCAACGTGGCAGCCGACTCAGCAGAACCACGTGAAAGTGCGTCACCGGGATGCGTCTTTCACGTGTGGCATCCAATCAGCATAATTCGAGTAAAACGCATCCTCGGAGATGCGCTTTTGTGCCACCTCAACTGAAAGGATGCCGCTTCGAAAAAATATCGATCAAACGGTGTTAAAAATAAAAATATTCGGCAAAAAGATGTCAGTTTAATCAAATCGCCGCAATTCAAAGCTTCTGCAACAAAAATGGCGTCCACTAAAGCCCAAGGCAGAGTAGATTCGCATTTGCACGTGTGGGCATCCCCTCAAGAGGTAGTCGAACACCTCTTTTCAATGTACCAAAGTTTTCCGGTTAACCAAATTTAGAGGATGAGTTAACAGTAACTGTGCACGCCTTTCCCTTTTTCCTGCTTTTTGTGTTGTGTATACAGACTGCTGATAAATATCCTTACTTTCCTGACCAAGAACCTACTTTGCCTGGGCATTTGGATATCTTGCTCCAGGTAAGATAACTATCCTTTTGCTTTTTTATTCTGTGTCCTTGATTTTCTTTTCTCTGTCTCTCCCTGCAGTGTATGGAAGAAGCAAGTGTTGATGGTGCGCTCATCGTCCAGCCAATCAATCACAAGTTTGATCTTTCATTGGTGACCAAGTCTGCTTCGAATTTTACGATTAATTACTAACATTTACCGATTTCTGGTAATTTGTTTAATTGTTTTCTTCTCATTTTGTGAATTAAGCTATAAAGTCATGTGGAAGCATTGGTGTGAAGTGGATATATACTGCATATACCACTGAAAATTCTTTCAAATAGAGGGCTGAAGCAAATGATTGGGAATTTTTAGCATTTTATTACTCTTTTTAGCTGAATTCCTTCTAGGAACTGATCCTTAGATCATAGAAGAATGAATGAATGATCCAATTGTTACCAAAGGTTCATGTGCTTGGCAATGTTCTTGTACTACCTAGTTGCTTGCACAAACCAGGAAACCGTTCCATGCCTAATATCGGTTTTATGGATGATTGATAGTGTCCTAAAGAAACACCCCACAAAATTTGTCGTTGTTGCCTTGCGAATCCTGCAGAAAATGGAACTGGGGTTAAACAGCTTGAAGATCTCATTTTGAAGGTTTTTGATTTATTTTTTTATTAGATAACTCTTTTTTTGTTATATCTTATTGGGAAAACCATTCTTAGAGGTTTTGAATATACGATTGCAGCGATTTCCCATTTGTTGTTCCGGAAAGCGGCTACAAAGGAGCAAACGAAACAGTGATTCATATCACCAGTCAGGCATCTTTGTCATCTTCTGAGGTAGAATGGATCGCGGGGAAGACAGCAATGCAACTGTTTCAAGGCCAATGGCTTCCTTAGGCAGGCAAGCAGCAGCCTTTACTCATCTCTAGTAACGAGTCTTTTCTTTGCTTGACTAGTTAACCAGTTCGTCTGACGTACAATTAGTCTATTATATGTTTGAGTCACTGAAATAAGGGAATGCAATACGATTTAGTTGTAACTATAAAAAAGATTAGCCCACGTTCAAAAGCATACATGCCCGTAGAGCTTCAGGGTCAAATATTTTTTTTTTGATAGAATATTAGGCCTCATTAAAAAAAACCTTTCATATCCTACATGTTACAAACATAACATGAAGGACATAGGAAGGAAGAAAAGAGTGCCTATGACTTTTATTAATGTGAACAATAATACACCTCCACACCTAACCCTCTAACTGCTAACATAACATATAAAACATAACTCTGATTACATAACACATGACCTAAAACTCCCTTAAGAAGAACAACCAAGGCACAACACCTTTAACCACTACACAAAACCTAAAAATCAACCTATACCAGCTTTAGCTAATTCATCCGCTTCCGAATTTGCAGCTCTCGAAATATGTCTTGTGATAGCTTCAGGGTTAAATATGTCCTCTCCACTTTCTTATCTTTTGATGTCTCTCAAAATTTATGTTTGGTTCCAAAATTTCTCAAATCTTGCAATCAAAAGAAATCTTTTAATGCACGAAGATACATAAACAATGGTAATTTTTTGTGGTAGTTGGGTAATTTTGTCATTTTGAAAGAAAGGTTAATGGAAACATTTGGAATGGAAAGAAATGAAGATGTCTATATTAAGGTAAATATACATTTTGATATACAATTTTAGTTTCAAGGTTTAAATTAGTGCTTGTAGTTTTTCTTTTTTCTAAATTGATATTTAGATTTGAATTCTATAATACATTTTGGTACTTATATTTACTTTTGCCACATATTTTTAGTTTCAATGTCAATGGCTTCCTTTAGTTTTTCTTAAAATAATTTTTCATATAAAATATGTGTGTTTGTTTCTCTTTGTATTGTTTTGTGAACAGTTACTATTATCAGTAACATATACGAATTCAAACTTTGTAATTAATCATTCAAAAACAATTTAAAAATTCTTTTTGGTAAATGGTAATTTATACACCACCTTCCCCAGGGCATGAAACTTCCCATGACCTCTCAGTTTTGCATGTACTCAAATACCATGATCACATGGCCACAACAATCAAACATCTTAGGATACAGAGTAAAGCATATCCAAGCCTTTTGCCTTTTACACAAATATTATCCTTCATGGCAGCATGCGCAATAGGTATTATTTGTCCTGTTGTTTTCACTTACGTTCAAACAGGATAAGCTTGGTAAAATCCCGTGTCTGTGTGCTTGTCAAAGAGAACTTTTTCTCCATCCGGTTCTTCCTCGAACTATCTCTTCGTTTTGATTCTTCCCTTTGGTTTGGAGGAGATGAGTATATCCGTATGTCGTCGTATCCAAGGGGCCCAAGTATCCATTTCCTTCCACGATTCCAGAAGTCAAAACCATGTTTTTAAGTAGACTTTGTTCCACTCCATTTGTCAGAATTTCATCTTCATCTGGTTGGCAAAGTGATTGAACTCTATCTGAACTCCCACATTCCCTTCTATATTCTAATACAATACCAGACAGCTGATGAGACTCCAAAAATTTGTCGGGAATTGTCTGCGGAAAAAAAGGAAACTAATGATTATTTAAGGTCGACATCGAATTCGAGTGAGTTATATCGATCGATCATCGATGGCAGATCGTTTTCGTTTACCTCGAGCATCCATCTTACATACTTGACATTGTTGACGTGGTGGTTCATGTCCAAATCACTCCTCCTTGGCTACAAGGTAAATAGGAGATTAGTTAGCCTGTTCTGTTTCATCCACGTTATCTAGCTGTTGAAGCTTTACCTTCAAGTCGGAGTTGATGTATTTTGTGTTATCGTCCAACTTGACAATCTTTTCGGGAACGTCTTCGATGATCGCTTGCTTTTCTATAAACCAAGGAGAGATTTCATCTCTAACTTCCTCCGGCATCTTCGACAGTCGCCTCGTTTTCTCATTCATCATGACCCAAGTGTTGTTTCATACAGTTTTATGATGTTCCTTGGGGGGAAATTAAGGATGAGTATGCTAAAGGTATTCATAATGATATCTAGTTGCACGTGCGTAGGTGATGCCCGTGGCTTGACTTCGAACTAGCCAGTCTCGCCGCATCCCGATGCTCCGACCCATGTGTCAAATTCCAATACCTCACCCCTGCAATCAGCTGCAATTCTACTTAGCAGCTACTTAGATCATTAAGATGAGTCTATTTAGAGATGCAATGCAACAAGACTGACCATATTGGATAGTGATCCAATTGAACGTGCATTCTAGAGATCACCCATATGAGGCTGTTCCTCATAATTCCATGTGTGGCTCCAAATCCATAGCATAGAAGTCCAGACATCCATACATGATTTAATGCTGTTTCTTACATAGACATGAACATTTCTCAATGTTATATATATATATATGTACGTATGATAACTGAATGTTCCCAATCTGTAATCACCTGGAAAGATTAAGGAGGCTCTCCAAGGTAGCAGTCTTGTAAGGGCCAACTTCGTATGACCGGACAACAACCGTCTGTCTATAGCCGACTCCCCTTTCGATGATGAGACCTTGACGGTAAGGATCGACCAGCTGCTTCTTCGTCGGGATCCTATGCCGAATCTGCTCTTCAGTTACGTGCCGGTTTTTGGTTGTGGTTGCAAGAGGAGAGGAACCTTTTCCGGATCCAGCGATTTCATTCAATGTCTACCATGATATCGATTGCCATTACGAGAATATCTAAAGGGAAAAGAAACTGAACAGAAGAAAGCAGCTGCCGCCATTGCTTTCTCTGGACTGGTCTAGGTCTGGAAAGTTTGAAACAGGGTCAGCACATTGGAATTTTTTTTATAGAGATTTCATGGCGGACCTGTCCAAGACAAGGTCCCTTAGAGGACAATAACGAGGGAGCTTCGCTATAGTTATTTTCATTACAACAAAAATTAAATAAGCGATGCATCCTAGGATGGATCAATGGAGGACAAATAAGAGAAAATTGTTGATTTGTTATCGGGTACGCTTCTAGTTTGTTAAGAGGGAGCAAATAATTCCAAGGAACACTATTAAGCCATTGTCGGTAAGTAGACAATAAACAAACAAGCCATGGGAAGTTTTGTTTATGAGAGCAAGATACTCATTCTCAACCCTTACCATATGTAATTTGTAATTTAGGGTTAGTATTCAATTAAGTTGAATCGAATTAAGTGGGATAACTTAAATTAACTTTACAAATTTTATTTCGTCCTTCAACTTTTATTTAATTTTTTCGAATCGAATTGAATGTTTGTTCGAATTTCTATTCAAATTTAATTATAATTATTTATAATATCATGATATTAATTGGTTTCATTTTAAATGATTATATGATCATGTAAGATATATATATATATCTTTGGAAGTAGAAAGGATTGCTCTAAATTACATTGATTTTACACTGCCACTTGGTTTGATAGTAACTGAGCTATTCAACATCTTTGGAAGACCCCATTGCAACAAAGCAGTGGCAACTGGCAAATCCCATTTCAACAGTCTATCAAAGAGGAACCAACAATTCACAAATTGTGACAACCGGAGGAACCAAGCCTACATGGCATGTGTAGTGGATGTGGTTTGTCTTTCTGTCTCACCATGGTTTTGCTCCCTAAACTAAACATGGAAAGTGATAACAGCAACTTAACCTAAATATCAAAATTATTATAACATCGGTGACAGTGATAATCTACTAGATAAATATAGCTGAAGAATCGGACCATAGACCGACATCTCTATAACCTAAAGGGCAAACAGAAAAGGCACCCAAGCATGTGATCTAATCAAAAATGCAACTCAGCCCCCAAAATAGCTTAAGCACTTTTGTTGTCTTGCTCCTAGACAATTCTAATCACTACGGTGCACTTAATATTCAAATTAATCATAATTTAATCACTATAACTTTCAAATTATTTTTTATTTTAATTATATATTAATAAAATGATAATATAAATTGTCATATCACAAAAATTATTAATAAATAAATTAGCGTGATTAAAATAGAAAATTTTGAAAGTTGAGTAGTTAATTAAAATTTTATAAATTTTAGTACCAAAATAAGAATGAGAAATAGTTGAGTGATGAATGAATTAATTTACTCACAAAAACAACTTAACAATTAGATATCAAAATAAAACAAAAATTAAATGTTAAATATAATTTAATAAAAATTTAAATATTAAAACAAATCAAAACTTATAATTTTTTATCCAATAAAATAAAATAAATTTTCCATGGCGTAAGACCTGCCAATTGCGTAATGCTGCAAGCAAAAATCACAAAAGAATAATAATCCTTTTAATCAATCATTTCATCCGCCAAACTTTCCAATGTGAACAACTCTTTAATTTCAGCAATGTAATTAGTAATAATCATGGGCTGCCAGAGCAGTCTATAATTTAAATTAACTGATTCAATTAAACTAAATAATTCTAATTAATCTAATCAAATTGATATGAGGGCAGTCAGTTAAGTTGATTAAATGGGCCAACCGATTTATTTTTTATTAACAAATTTATTTTAAATAATTAAATTCTATATATATTTTATTGCATATTATAAATTACTTGTAACAATAAAATAATATGTATGAGATACAAACCAAACGACCTTAGTGGTTAAATGGATGATTATTATCTCTAAAAATTTTGGGTTCGAGCACCAACAATTACAAGGTAATTAAATGTTTATTGTCAAATAATTGAAATTATTTAAACTATATATTATCACTTGTAATCCCCTATATTAATAAAAAATAATATTTATGATAATTCGACTGATTTAATTATAAAATTTCATAAAAAATATTGACCAACTAATTAAACCAACTTACCTGATTAGACTGAAACTAACTAAATCAATTGGATCGAATTTTATCATTAGAACCGGAAATTGCTTTCCCTTGATCAAAGGGCACAAATGCACAAATAACTAATAAACTATAATAAATATTTTTTATCGTTGAAGTTTTGAAAATTCTAAAATGATCATTAATTTTATAAAATGTTTGTAAAATAAATTATTAAACTTAAATGGCTAAAAATATAATTTCAGCATAGTTTAACGGCCATTTAATGTAATTTAGCCTTTT